ACACGTAAAGACATGCTATTCATTCATCCAACAAGAGGTCAATACATCGGTGGCATCACAGTAACAAGCAATGTATGAAACAGTTGTGAAATTTACTAGGAAACACTGCCTTTCAGAAAGCCAGTTATTTTAATATAAAATTCCAAAATGTAAAATACCAAGGCTAAAAAATAAAATAGTAAATTAAAAATTAAAAATAATAAAAGCCTGGCAAAGGGACAAAGAAGTAACATGTGATGGACTATCACGGAATCTAGAGGACCTACAGGTAGGTCAAATTATTTGATCATGTGTTCTAATGGCATCTTAACGGTTGAGTGTCGATCAATACCCTCAGTTGACACCCTCAATCGACCCCTTGATCGATACTCCATGAACACTCCATTGACTACTCAGTTGACACTTTATTGACACTCCATCAACATCTCGGTCAACAGTTGGTCAAGAGGCGACTCAGTCTTTGATCAATTCATATGAGTCAGTCAACACTCGGCCGACTATCGACCAACTGTTGATATAGTGTCAACCAAGTATAGATCAGGATGACAATTGGGTAGTGATTGATGAGATGTCGATCAAGGGTATCGATCAAGAGTATTGATCGATACTCAACTGCGGATGCCTTTAGTACAAATGATCCAAATAATCCACAAATGCCTCACAGAACAGTGAATTATTTTGTTTTTCCTGGGAAAGAGAAAATATTGTTTTGTCTTACAAAAGTCAATAAAATTGGTTTTCAAAATGTTATATTCACTCACCATGAGCCTGCTTCACAGTCATTGATCTCTAGATCACAGAAGAGAAGAGAAACAAAATAAATTTAAATGCACTTTTGAACTGAACAACCCCTTAATATTTTCTAGGTTAGAAAAACACCAGAGAAGGGATATATATAATACCACATAAATGAGGATGAACATGACAGATTCAAATGACAAACTTGAAAATACATGTATTGGACAATTTTTTCAAGATGTCTGTCTGCAACAATGCTCCCTTATTAGAGAAGTTTCAATAACTATTTAATAATGATTAATGGCTTTGTTTTTAACTCAGCTATGATACATTTCTTTAAATTTTCCTTCTCTAACATTATGTAGCTAGTAGATTAATGGTTTTTAGCTTTTCATACTTACTTGTGTTACAATTTTTTCCAGTGAAATCACCTTNGCCAGTTATTTTAATATAAAATTCCAAAATGTAAAATACCAAGGCTAAAAAATAAAATAGTAAATTAAAAATTAAAAATAATAAAAGCCTGGCAAAGGGACAAAGAAGTAACATGTGATGGACTATCACGGAATCTAGAGGACCTACAGGTAGGTCAAATTATTTGACCATGTGTTCTAATGGCATCTTAACGGTTGAGTGTCGATCAATACCCTCAGTTGACATCCTCAATCAACCCCTCGATCGACACTCCATGAACATTCCATTGACTATTCGGTTGACACTTGATTGACACTCCATCGACATCTCAGTCGACAGTTGGTCAAGAGATGACTCAGGTTTTGATCAATTCATATGAGTCAGTCAACACTAAGCCGACTATCGACCGGCTGTTGATATAGTGTCAACCAAGTATAGATCGGGATGACAATTGGGTAGTGATTGAGATGTTGATCAAGGGTATCGATCAAGAGTATTGATCGACACTCAACTGCAGATGCCTTTAGTACAAATGATCCAAATAATCCACAAATGCCTCGCAGAACAGTGGATTATTCTGTTTTTCCTGGGAAAGAGAAAATATTGTTTTGTCTCACAAAAGTCAATAAAATTAGTTTTCAAAATGTTATATTCACTCACCATGAGCCTGCTTCACAGTCATTGATCTCTAGATCACAGAAGAGAAGAGAAACAAAATAAATTTAAATGCACTTTTGAACTGAACCACCCCTTAATATTTTCTAGGTTAGAAAAACACCAGAGAAGGGATATATATTATACCTCATAAATGAGGATGAACACAACAGATTCAAATGACAAAGTTGAAAATACATGTATTGGACAATTTTTTCAATATGTCTGTCTGCAACAATGCTCCCTTAATAGAAAAGTTTCAACAACTATTAAATAATGATTAATGGCTTTGTTTTTAACTCAGCTATGATACATTTCTTCAAATTTTCTTTCTCTAACATTATGTACATACATACATACATACATACATACGTTTATTTGATAAGTAGGTTTAAAATAAGCAACTGTACTGCTGATGTGGACCTACTACTACTAAGTCTATATAAGAGAAACAGAAATTTACAATACAATTGTCATAAAGCTAAAATAATATATACAATAACGATAAAAAG